CTGGTTCAAATCTACCACTAAGCCCTCCAATGAATTTCTATTTTGATTATATGTGGTTTTCAACTCCAGAATTTACATTTGGTTCTTTTTTCTATGATTTCTATCTCTTTTTTGATATTAGTTATTTGATATTATATTGTCATCATACTTTCTTTTACTTTAATCATTGTTTCTTTTAATTTTTTAAGCATATTTATGACTCCTTTAAGTCTGTTCAATTTGACATTTGATAAGTCAGAGTAAGACAAAGGATTTAATTTATATGTGGAATCTAAAAAAATAAATAAATAAACAAACAGAAACAGACTCTTAAATACAGAAAACAAATTGATGGTTGCCAGAGGGGAGAAAGGTGGGGAGATGGGTGATAAAGATAAGGGGGATTAAGAGGTACAATTTACAGTTATAAAATAAATAAGTCATGGAGATGAAAAGTACAGCATAGGGAATATAATCAATAATACTGTGATAGCATTGTTTGGTGACAGATGGTGACTAATTTATTGTGGTGAGCACTGAGTAATGTATAGAATTTTTGAATCAGGATGTTATATACCTGAAACTAATACCACATTGTATGCGGTATTACTTCAATTAAAAAAAAAAAAATCTGACATTTGAATGTTCTCACAGGCACTTTCCATAATCTATTTTTTTGTTTCTGGTGTATGGGTCATACTTTTCCAGTATGACCACCTTGTCTCCAGTGTTTGTGTGTAAGTGTGACATTTTGAATTATATATTGTAGTAATTCTAGGCACTTTCTTTCTCATCCCAGGGCTTATTATTATTTTCTTGCTTGTTTGTTCACTGATTTAGTCTGGATTATTTTAGTAAAGTCTATCCTCCCCCAACGCCAGCCCCCCCATCACACACCCGGTGTGAAGCCTCGAGTTTTCTTTTCAGGGGACATAGATTTGAGTATGTCCACAGTTACCCTAGGATGACAGTGATTATAGTAGAGCTCTCTCTTTTCCTGATCATACACAGCTATTAACTCCATTAATTGCTTACTAATTGCTCTGTTGTTTTTCAACAATGCCTTGAGACATAAATTCCTTTACATACGAATCCAATCAAATTTAGACTCCTCTCAGGGGACAGTTCCTGAGGTCCTTGACTGATATTTGTCTGACTTAAGGGGGTTCTTTCCAGCTGGCACTGTCCTCATTTCTCTCCACTGAAATGAGGACAACCTCCCAGGTAGCCTTTATCACCGACAAATCTATAGATCTCCTCTGAGTTGCCTTTCACCATAATTTTTACTGCTTATTAAAGAGTATATTTAGGCTTGAACTTCTCTGTACTTCATTATGATTGAAATCAGTTCCTTGGGGGTTGGAGATGAGATTAGAGCTCTGTTCTCTAGCTTCTCCCCATGGGCAAAATATCTGACCCACGGGTCTGGTCTTGGAGGTGGGGACAATGGCCAGGTTCTTTGTGAGTGAAACCACATTGAGTTGCTGAATGTTCAGTTGATGCAAGGTGGCAACAGTCCCAGATCTCCCCTGCTTGCCACTCTCACTGAGGAACGCCCACCTTCATATCCCACTCTTTGAGGATCCTCACAATTTTTCTGTAAATCCACAACTATTCTGCAAAATATAGTTTCATTTTTTAAATACACTTAAAAAAATGCCTATCCTCAGTAAATCTTTTGGACCACCTCTTTAAGTGAATGGTGTAGGCACGTGTATTTGGGAGGTTGGGGAAAGTAACATTTATATGGAGGAAAACAAAAACAAAAACAAACCAAAGCATTTGTATTTTTACCAGTTTTCTCTGGGAGCTATTTCAGTGTGGATATCCATTCTTGTTTTTACGCTAGGCAGATAATCAATAATCTAGGACAAGAATATTAAAAATATTATTTCAAAATCAACATTAGTCCTTACCCTTCCAATTTATTTATTCTTTTTTTTTCTTTTTTCCTTTGCTTTACCTAGTTCCATATTTGTATAGGGACCTACTTGTACTTTGACTTCTTAATCCTGTTTCCCAGCTGTGAAATTATTTTCACACATCTATCATGGCTAGAAAGGAGGTAGGAAGGCTATTAGAACAGACTCTAAACTCTCAAATTTCTGAAATCGTTGTGAGAGAAGAGAGAAACAGGTTTTCTGGGTTTTAACAAAGAGCAATTGTGGCTTGGGGGAGGAAGGAGAACCACGGTTCTTTTCTCCTGTGTATAAACCACAACGGGTAGGTACTTTGTTTTACTCGCAGGGTACAGGTCTGTTTTCCAAGGATAAGCCCTTATTCATGAATAGTAAAGGTATTTTTTGGAAGAAAATTCCAGGCTCCTTTAATGAGTGAACTAGTCTACCATTTAGGACACTCTCTTGTTCATGTATATTTCTGAAATTTAACGGCTGTGCTGGCTGCTTTGCTTGCATTTGCTCATCTTAGATTGGTCTAAAGAATAACTCAGAAGACACTTCCAAAAACACATCTTACAGAAGTCAAGTCAAAAAAGGTTTTAATTATGACTAACAGTTACTCTGTTTTCTTTAAAGTAGTCCCATCGTAGGTCCAGAAATTATATTTTCCAATGAAGTTAAAACAAAGGAAACAAAATATATATTTAGAAGAATTTTTACCTTTCTATTATTACAGCTATTATCTTTCTGGCACTCATTTATTGAATATTGGGTGTTACCTGTGTTATTAACAGGTGTGTTATTAGTTTTGTCAAGGCTGTGAAGACATCTGAAGGTATTTCACCCTTCTAAAAATAAACTGTCTATGTGAAAAGTTGTGGAATTTAAGAAATACTTTGCAATTTCTAAAGTCATTTCTCCTCCCTAAAATGTCCATTTGAACTTTATAATAACAGCAGCAGGAGAACTGGCTTGGAAGATCTTATATTATACAATGGAAGAATTCTAGGCTCAAAAAAGTTTTAAAGGTCATTTAATCCAATCCTTTCATTACATTTTTTTCATGCCATTTTTTTTCATTTTCCTCTGAAAATAGTACCAGACTACAAAATGTTGCAAAAATGAAATTCTTACATACCTTTTATTCAGCTTCCATAAAAATAAACAGCTTATACAACCACAGTACAATTTCAAAACCAGGAAATTAAATGTGATATAATACTGTCAACTGATTTATAGACCTTATTCAAATTTTGCCAGTTGATTCACTGATGACCTTTTCCTGGTCTAGGAACCAGTCCAGGATCACACCCTTTGTTTTCATGTCTCCTAAATTTCCTTGAACTGGGGACAGATCTTCAGTTTCTTTGTCCTTCATGATGCTGACTTTTTTTTTTTTTTTGGTACTATTTCTTTATTTTTTAGACTGTTCTTCAACTGAAACCCTTTCATTTTCAAGTTTAGGCAACCAAGCATGATGATTCTCTGAGTTCTCACAGCAAATTAGTAGCAGACTTAAACACACATAGAAGGCTGCAAATTGTATGGAAGTTCATCTCAAGATTTCAGAAGGCATGTCTCATGCTAGAAGGGTAAGGACTGATACAAGGAAACGGTGAATTTATACAACAGGTATAATAGATGCAATCAATACGCCTCTAGTATATTTCTGATTGATTACCTATGAAATCCCGGATTTTGTGCTAAGCCATTGGATTTATAACACTGGGCAAAAACCAAAATGGTCCCAAGGCCACAGTTTGAGTTCCTTTTTTTGTTTCACCCAGCACTTTGTCTTGTTCTGGAGGATGTGGAAGTGTATGTCCACAAAATATTTAGAACACGGTTAGTAGCAAAGTGCTCTTCCAAATACGTTATACAAAAAGACTGGCTTTAGAATGAATATTATAGAAAATCAGGGAAAGAGTAAAGCATGGCCACTAATGGGAGAAACCTCTAAATACACATACCATCATCATCATTGGAGAGTTAGATGATAGATAAATCGATCGATCTTGGATAGACATATTTCTATTTAACTCTAAGATCTATTATCTAGCATCTATCTATATCTATCAATCATGTATCTATTATCTTACACACAATCCCACACCATTCCCTCTACTGCCCTTCTGGCGTCTCTCCGGGGCCCAGATACATTGCCTGTGCTCTGGGTTAGATCGAGGTGCCAATTCACAGACACTAAGGGGAAAGAAGAGGAATCCCTAGATCCTTCTCCTCCCAAAGACGCTGCCAAGAGTCCTGGCTGCAGAGTAAATCTGGACTCCTGGTGGAGAGGACAGAAGGGAACAAAGCGAGAGGAGGAGAGCAGGAGGGGAAGGGTCCCTGACGCTCACAGCCCGCTCTCAACCCGCAACCCAGCCAAGGGGAGAGCGGGGCACGGAGCGGGGGCCTCCACCACTCCTGGCCCCCGCTGGGGTTCCGCAGGCGAAGACCCGGGAATCCGGAGAAGCGGGCTCCAGTCCACGTGGCGGCGCCTGGCTCCGCGCGCCCCGCCTCCCGCCCGCCGCCGCCTCC